CAAGTTGCAGTATAAAAAGCAATATTTTTTAAGATATTATTTGGCCCAATGGAGAAAAAAACATCAAAGACAATTACTTTCGTTGGAAACAAAAAGAAAATGATATAATTTCGGATACAAAATTAAACACCAAATTTTCATCTTACTCAAAGGATTAAAAAGAACAGAAAGAGCGATCACAATTTAGATTGAGGAACTAATTCAAAAAAGAATTCCTGTTAGTGGTTATTTAATGCAGGAAAAAGTTCTTCAGTTTTATGAGTTAATCAAACAGTCAGAGCCACCAGCTTTCATTTTTCGAGCTGATAAAAAATTTTCAGCTAGCAAAAGATAACTAACCGAATTTATAAAAAGAAATGCACTTCATAATATCAAGATTACAAGAAAGAGCAGATGAAGCAGCAACAAAAATATTTCCACAGGAGCTAGCTGTAAGTATTTAACGCTGATAAAACGGGACTGTATTGGAAAAAATGCCTAACCATACTTACAAAAAACGCAAAGGATGAAAAAACTCCAAGTGGACATAAAGCAAGTAAAGATTGATTAACATTATTACTTTGTAGCAATGCATCAGGAGATTGGATGTTGAAACTGCTTTTAATAAATAAATCTCTTAGACCAAGTGCTTTAAACAGAAAAGATTTAAAACAACTGCCAGTGCATTAGATGGCTAAAAAGAAAGCCTGGGTGATAACTGCTATTTTTACAAGCTATTTTTTTTACAAAAAAGGTTTGGCCAGCATGTGTAACAAGCAATGCAACCATTCAAATATTGACTCTATCAGATGAAACAATTAATTTGGCACAAGACATTGGCGGAAATGGTTTTAATACCTTCAACCACGAATATATAGACAAATTGTTTGTGGATGATGCATTAAGTTACCATAATATAATTGATCAAACTTTCGATGGCGTCGTGAGTCTAGAAGATGATAATGAAGAAAAACCAACCCCTCACTGCCAAATTAATTCGAGAAGGTCTTCAATGTTGCAGTGAATTAGAAAATCATTTACTTATTAATGAGCCCGATTCTGAACGAGCATTTAAATTACAATGTGAGCTGTAGAAAATCAGGTCAGGATATCGTGAGCTACATAAAAAGTTACTAGCATCATCATTGCAAAGCTTAATTACTGATCACATTGTCAGAAAAGGAAGAGCTACACAGAATGAGAATGAAGTTTGTGAAAATCCGTCGTCATTTCGCAAACAGTGCAGACCATTATCAGATAGCGATGATAATTAAAAATGTAAATGTAAAACTATATTATGTACCTATTACTTTCCCATTTAAAAAAATAATTTAAGTTTCGAATACAAGTTTTTTTTTAAATTTTGTATGAATTTCTTTCAGATATTTGAAGTAATTTATCATAGAGCTTATTTCTTATAAATTCTGCAAACTTTTTTGTTTTTTCTTGGTTTTATATAATTTAAGAAGGCTGTGGAATGTATTCCTACTTTAATGCGATTTTTCTATAATCATATCCACCGCATAAAATGAGATCTTACTGTAGTGAACTTAGATCATAAGTGTCATGGTTTTCTACAGAAAGCAGTCACCAAACAATCGGAGAGATTTACAAAAGCTTAATTAAATACGGGAATTTTACAAATTTACAAAAGTTACTCCCTTTCAACAAATATACAAGTTTTTCTTGATAAACTATCCCTCCCTCTATTTTGAAGACAATACTGGCATGAAAACAGCTGGTAAGTGATTATTTTAAAGGAAATTCCAATGTCCACTTACCTTGTGAATTTTTAGAGTGTTTTTTCGTTCATTTAAAGGACAACATTAAAAAATTACACATATTTTAAAACCATGACTCTTTTTTAAAGAATTGTTCGTGAAATTTCATACTTTTTAAAGGAAGTCCACTGACAAATGAATCTGCGAAATTTGATAAATCAAGTAATCTCGTCTTTCTCCAAATGAAACAAAAAGGACATGACCTTTTACTAGGCAACTTTAGAAATTCATAAAAAACTGTGTTTTAAACCTGGTCTGGGGAGAAAAACAGAGGAATATTATTGTAATTAACAGATATCTTCCTATATAAAAGAATAGGATGACAAGTCACTTTTGTCCAGTAAGGTAACTACGCCACCCAGGAAACAAACCTGAACTACCAACATCTGACATTTCAATATTTTATTCTTGAAACAATACGTTTAATTAATAATACTAATATTAATTACATATTAATATAATTAATAATATGAACAATTTTTTTGCAAAATTGACAAAAATATTGGTTGCTGTAATTTTAAGATAAGATTTAATGAATAAAATAATTTAAAGCTTTATGTTGGTTTAGATATAAACACATAGCGCCACAGAGGAAATAAACCTGAACTACCAACTGACAAAAAATAAACTTATCTGACAGATAAAATACAAAATATTTATTTACCAAATAAAATACCATATAAAAAGTTACTTGGAAGAAAATTATGAAATTATGAAAGTTGTGCAACAGACTAAAATATCATTTTGTTGTCATCCTAGCCTTAAATACGAGGAATCCAGAAAAAATTGATTAGAGTGACTGTAGATGGCAATTTATTGGATCCTTTATCGCATGGTGATGGTTAAAATTACTAGTGTAATAATAAAACTTAATCATTTAATTATACTGTACAACTTAAATATTGTCCTAACTGTTCCAATAGTAAAATCAATACTCCTTTGTCTTTTTATAACTATACTATTTGAGCTTGTGATAAATATAACAAATAAAGTGAAGCTTTGTACAAGAGATTTAAAAGAAAATTTTATGTTGAAAATACAGGAGACTGTCAAATAAATCATTACAGTGTAACCTCGATTATCTGTCTCTCTATTAACCATCACCTCTGTTAACCGCCAGGGTCCATACATAAGTTATATTGACAACATAAGTAAACATTTAGTCATCAATTCATTTTGTTTGCAAAAAAAAATGCAAAGATGATTCTCATTTTGGACAATGCACCTGCCCATCCTAAAGCTGGTATACTGCAGAGTGACAATAAAAATATCACATACTCTTTTCAGCCTGCGAATACATCATTGATACAACCAATGGATTGTTCGCTCATTAACACATTTAAAAGAATATACAGGAAAAAATTTATTCAAAACCTAGTTATTGAAAAGTAATATTCTTTGTCAGAATGGTGGAGTTTAAAACACGCAGTTGACAATGCTGTGGATGCTTGGGCTTATGTTTCGGAAGAAACACTGAAAAGAGCCTGGAATAAATTATGGCTTGAATCAACTTAAGATGAAAATGTTATGGCTGAATCAACTGTTTTGTTTTCATTGAAAAAAGATGACATAAACCAATGGTTATTTTGTGATTAAGGATGCAAACGTCTATCAATTGCTGACAGATGATGAAATCATTGAAATAGCAACAGAGGCAGACGAAACTGATTCAGAAGCCGACTTCGATGGTGCGATACTGATGATGCTATTACAACTCACAAGGTTTGCGTAAAGAAGCTAGAGGAGCTGCATCGCACATACAACAATTCATCAAGTGGCATTCTCAGCAAGAAGAAGCAAATAAGGTAGATTTAATGATTTTATGTTGATTAAGAAATTCAGCTGTTGCAAAATGTGAAGTAACAATAAAACAAAGATTTCAGAATAATTTAAATCAAATTGATTCGACTGTACTAACATAAATCCCTCTTATATTGTCAAATAAAACATACAAATAAAATTTGAGAATTATACTATGAATTTTTTCTGTTAACTGTCTTTTCAATTATCTGTCATACCCTTGGTCCCGTGCCCTGACAGATAATCGAGGTTTCACTGTACTTACATGTTATCAAAGTTAATGTTATCAAAGATATGTAACACAGTTATTATGAAAGTAATAAATTTTGTAACACAGTGAACATGTTGATATATATAATTCATATCTTTCAAACTATATTAAAAAAATGTATTTGGAATTTTTTTAATTCAGTTTACCAAGAAAACAGTATTTATTATGAAGATTTTATACAAGGCTCCTTTAATGGAAGAATGGTAACTCAAAATTTTACTACTTTTAAAGATAGCCTTATTCGAAATCTATATTAGATCAAATCTCTTTGAAATTGAATTATCTTTGAAAAAATTACAATACACAATGTCCATACAAATGTTAGATATTAATATGAACAAACTGGTTCTATAAGGATGCCATAAGTTCACAAAATTGTTCTTAAATATTTAAAATCAACTTAAAATTGGTTCTTCTATGTTTAATAAAGCAACTGTGAGAAGATTCGATAGTAATATCAAAAGAAATTTATATAATTTCAACATGTATCATAATGTTCACATTATTTCATTGAATTAAAGTAAGGAATTCCCTAATGATCCATAATAGAAGCTAAAATTTTAACAAAACGTACAAGATGCATTAAAACAGACATTTTGATAACGGATTTTAGTCTAAAGAAGTTAATTTTGACAATAATACAACAACAATACAGACAAGGTATGTGTGCAATAATAAATATCAATAAAAAGAAACTAAAGAGCAGGCAGTGAAAATACAACACGACTGAAACAATATAGAAATAGTAACAAGTTGAAACAACAAAAACAACCAAATGATGAGCTTTAAACAACAATTTTATTGGTTAAATTCTAAATAAATCTTATGTGTAGAGCTGCTGATGATAGAATGTGATTCAGTCAATTGGCAATAAAAAACATATAGAAAATGGATTGTTTGAAGTTACAAATATTGTAGCAAAATGATCTTTAAAAAGATACAAAAGGAATAAATAAATTAATATAAATCATTCATAAATATATTATACTGCATAAATTGCATATGTAAGAGAATGTTGTAGGTTTAAATTGTACATAAAATGTTAAATAAACAAAAAATACTTTCCTTTTCAAATTTTATGAATTTCACACTCAACTGTAAAAATTGGACATAAAATTTCTTGTATATACTTTCCACTATACTGAATCCAAAGAATTACAAATACATTAACTAATTTGATAAATTTATTTAACTAGATTGCCCCAATTACAAGAATTTTACAGTGATAAATTTGACTTAAACTATATATACTATATATATGCTTCTGTATATAAAGATTATATAGGTGTTTTCAAACCAAGCCATATGTGTATATCGATTATTTAAACTAAAACATATCAAATGTGGCCAATAGACCTAAAAAGTGATACATCAGCCTTCAAATTATCTAAATCGACAAACAAATAAAAATAAATGGGTCGATCCCTACAGTAGAGTGAAGTATTTTAGGTATTAAATTTGACAAGTGTAAATTTAAACATTCTAGCACAAATAAACTAACTATTAACTAAGCTATACCAGAAGCAGCTGCTGCTTGGAGAGTTGCTGTTGCCTCTGAGACTTCCTGACTAGCAGCTGATGAACTCTCTTGAGGATTAGCTGCCTCTTGGGTACCTCTTGGCAACAGTATACTGTTCAATGTTGGTTGAATGTTTAATTCTTGTTCGGTAAAATTAAATAAAGGTGGTAGCTTGTTTCCATTTGGAAGTCGAGTATTTGGTTCTCTAAGTTCATTGAAGAAAGAATGTGCACAAGCCTGTAATGGACTAATTCTAGAAGAAGGGGTATACTCTAATAATCTTGCTACTAGTTCAATTGCTTCAGGTGGTGTTCTAGCTCTGAATACCTGTTGCCAAGGGTGTGATTTGATTTGAGGAAACTTAAACTCGGTGTAGTTGGGATTCATTTCCTTGATCTGTTCTTTGGTAGGTGTTCCCAATACCTTGATAATCTCCACTAACTGGTCTACTCCTGAATCACCAGGAAATATGGGCAGACCTAATAAAAGCTCTGCCAAAACACAGCCTGCACTCCACACATCAATTTTAGTGGTGTAATCAATAGCACCAAAAATTAACTCTGGTGCCCTATAATATCTACTGCAAATATAAGCTACATTAGGTTCACCTTTGACAAGGTGTTTTGCACTTCCAAAATCACACAATTTTAACACTCCAGTCTCTGGATCTAACAACAAGTTCTGTGGTTTTATATCCCTATGACATATACCTAATGAATGAATGTAGGCTAATGAACGAAATAATTGGTACATATACAACTTTATATGGATGATTGGTATTGTATGTTTAGCCTTACTGTAATGCCTTGCCACTTTATACACTGTTTCAGGGATGTACTCCAGAACCAAATTGAGATACACTTCATCCTTCTTATCTCCACTAGAGTAAAAGTAATATTTAAGTTTCACTATATTGCAATGTTCTAATTTCTGCATAATTTGTAACTCTCTGTTTTTAAACCTCTTATCTTGCAGAACTTTCTTAATAGCTACTAACTCAAAAGTGTCACACAATTTAGCCTGATACACAACTCCAAAACTGCCATTTCCAATTACTTTGGTGTCAGTGTAAGATACTTCCTGAGGTCGATCGGGCCCTTGACCAGGCCTCGCCACTACAGTCGTCACTTTACTTCCATCTTTCCCTATATAACCTCCACTGCTAATTTTCATATCACCTATAGGTGGATTCAATGCTTGCTTATTACCTTCTGCAAAAGAAGTAGTTCTTGGTCGGCCACTCATATTTTCTGTCCGACTTTTAAACAATTCTATAAATATATCACATTTCTTGCTTATACCCTTCTTCCGATTCAGTGATCACAGTATTTTCGCACTTCTAGTCATTTGTCGAATTAATGACACCTTCTGGTACACTTCAGATAACATAAAATCGCTAGAAAACGAATAAAAATCACTTTAAATCACAAAATCACTTTGTTACAACATTTTTTCATGTGAAATGGGCTTCACCTCACCATTAATTTTCTGATCGACCATCGACCTTTGTCGTCACTTTGCTACGACTCGATCGAGTTTATAGGGTTTAAAATACTTGTAGCTACATAAATACTCGTGCATATGTTACTTTATGAACATATTTTACTATTTTTACGATATTTCGTACAATAATTTTAAAATGGTACACTTTTTCTCGATTTAGATTTAATGCATAGAAGGTTAACTGAGTCATCTGAGATCAATTTGCATTTATTTCTTCTTTTTCTCAAAATGCCTCCACATGTCTATTTATTCAGCCAACTTGGCGACTCATTGACAATGAATTTTTAAAGTTAATGAAAAATATATTAAAGAAATACTTTTCATTATATATTTATTATTACATATAAATATTTCATTTGATAAAAGAGCAACGAGAAAAATATATAAAATAATGAGTAAATGACTGAATATGCAGTCTAAATTTCGTGAAAAAAAATCAGAGAAAACCAACTAAACATTATATAAATATTATGCATAATTAATTGGATATCCTAAAATCTTTTTATTCATATATTAAATCATATAAAATTATTTCATTAAAATTCTTCTTTACAAGTCGCAACTACGCACATAACATTTGTGCATGCGCATTGCTGATTCAATCGGACCATCGGTTTCTCTGTCGCAATGCCATCAGCAATGAACATTAAATTTGGTGCATTATAATTTCCTCTGATCTCCAAATAATAATGTTATTCAAACAAAGAAAATATACATTAAAATGTACACTGGGTTTATTTCTTTTACTTTTTGGATAGGTTTTAAAATAGATTAATAATTGGAACAATGCGGCGAAGTTAGCAATGTTGCCACGCCCGCCAAAAATTTGGAAACTTACAGAATTATTTGATCCGTAAAAACCATCTTTTTGGATATTGAAATTCAAATTGGATATGAGTATTTTAGCTAACTTGGTCCTGTAGATAGAAGTTGTTATTTTATCTACAAGTGACCAGGTCTCGCTACTGCATTATGATGCGCTATGTATGACCATATGTAGCATTATTATAATGCAAAGGCAGTTATTGGATTTGGTAAAAGTATTTCTAGCAATTGGTGATCCAATATTTTATATATTTAAATTAAGAACAAACATTTCGAAGTTTGTTTTGTCATTAAACATTCATTATCAGAAAATGTATTAATTTTTCCTGAAAATAGCTTCATAAATTGAAATTCTAACAAAATATTGACTTGATAAGATTATCAAGAATATTTAATATCATAATATAAACATAAAACACACAGTAAATGGTTATTAATTATTTAATGCATAAAAATTAGAAATTATTTCTAAATTAATAGGGAAAGGTAATAATAGTTAAGAAACCTCGTAGGCCTACGACAACCAGCAGCGGATCCAGCATTGTTAAGAGGAGGGGCAATTAGCTAATTTTCTAGATAACAATAATAATAGTAGTAATACTATTTTATTAATAAATTTTCTCTTCTTTTTCTTATAGTGCCTATCCGCTTCGGATGTTGGCGACCATCATGGCAATCCGTATTTTGCAAACTGCTTCTCTGAAAAGATGTGCGGTTGTTGTGTTGAACCACGTACGTAAATTTTCCAGCCGGGATATCCTTCGCCTTCATGGTCCTCGTTTGCCTTCTACTTTTCCTTGTAGAATTAATTGCAGCAACCCATATTTTTCGCTGTTCCTCATGATGTGACCGAGCTATTCGAATTTGGCTGGATTTATTATGGTTAACGACTCTATGGTAAGTTTATTTACTATATGTGCGTTTCACATATAGTAGATTTTAATATATTTGCCTTTGAAGCAATCTATAGGTCACTGCATGAAGATATAGCGTCAAGGCATTCGTGAATTATTGGCAGAGGTTCTTGAAATTGAAGAATTTCGTTGTGACATTCAACCCATCTCGTCTCGCACAAACCACTAAGCTAATGTACCATCATATTTTTAAGAACTGCATTGCGTTCTGACGAAGCTTTAAAAAAAGAAATTACTTGTTTCATAGTTCCAATTTCATTTCTCACAGATTGAACTGATAAAGATTTCCCATTTGAAAGATTTAAAATATGATTATTTATTTATTTATCGTATGGCAATTACACCACATTTAGAACAAAATTACAAACACTAGTAATACAGGTATATGACAAACTTTAAATAGTTACAAACAAACATCAAGTGTATTAACATAATCAATTGACTCTGAAGTTGCAAACAGGAAGTCTTCAGTACTACCATTGTAGGATCTTGAGGGACACTCTTCAATAATGTGGTCGATCGTTTGGTTCTTCCCACAGTCACATTGAGGAGACGGATTCTTTCCCCATTTATGTAGCATGTATGCACATCTGCCATGTCTGGTTCGGATCCTGTTTAGAGTGGACCATGTTTTACGTGGAAGATCAAAACCTGGTGGCTTGTGGGTAATACAGGGCATGTTATTTTGCCATGTATTCCATTCTTGGGACTATACATTCGTGATGTTGAACTCTTCATGTATCATTCTTGCCGTTTTCATTGGTGGTTTTCTAGAACGTAGACGGGTATTTCGTGCATCCTCGGTATCTTGGTGGATCGGCAGGTTTATATTGTTCATGATCTTTTTGTATTCACGTGTAAGTGCGTCAACTCGTCGTAAATGTGGAGGTGGAATGTGACTTAATACTGGAAGCCATTGTGTGGGAGTTGATTTAATTGTACCAGCTATCATCCTCATAGTGCTGTGCAGCTGAGTGTCGACCTTTTTTACGTGTGGACTGTGTAGCCAAACTGGGGCACAATATTCAGCGGTCGAGAAAACAAGGGCTAAAGCAGTAGAGCGGAGAGTGGAAGCCGATGCTCCCCAGGTGGTACAGCAGAGCTTCTGTATAATGTTATTTCTTGTACTCAACTTTTGGGCAGTTTTTGTTAAATGCTCTTTAAATGATAGCGTTCTGTCTAGTGTTACGCCCAGGTACTTCGGTGTTTTGTTGTGGGAAAGTGTGGTATTTTCAAACCGTATGTTGAGTTCCTTTCCAGCAAGTTTATTGTTCAGGTGAAAGCAACTTACTTCTGTTTTGGATGCATTTGGTTGAAGCCGCCACTTGCGAAAATATTTGCTCAATATATATAAGTCTGTCGTCAGAACTTCTTCAGATGTTTCTAGTGTTCTGCATCGTGTAGTGAGGGCCCAGTCATCGGCTTATCCGAACTTTCTTGATTTTGTTTCTGGCATATCTGCTAAATATAAGCTAAATAGTAATGGAGAGAGCACTGACCCCTGTGGTAGGCCATTCTTAAGTTTCTTTGGCGGGTTGATATCTGTGCCCATCACTACTTGAAACATTCGGTCGTTGAGCATGCTATCTATTAAACGTGCTATTTGTTTACAGGGGATTGCACGGAGAATTTTGTAAATAAGGCCCTCTCTCCATACTGTATCGTAAGCTGCCGAGAGATCAATAAATGCCGCTGAAGTTTTAAGTCTTCCTTGGAAACCCGCTTCGATGTAGGTGGTGAGTGACATTACCTGGTCCGCGCAGCTTCGTTCTGGTCGAAAACCCGCTTGTTCGACTGGGATCACCTGGAACAGTTCTGTACTGATTCTATTATATATAAGCCTCTCTAATAGTTTGTAGATGGCAGAGAGAAGCGCAATTGGTCTGTAGTTTTTTGGGTTGTCAGCGGGTTTGCCTGCCTTTGGTTTGGCTATTATCTTAGAGCGCTTTAGTTCTTGGGGGATATTTCCAGTTTCCATGATGTCTGTGAAAAATCGAGCCAACCAAACTTTTGTGTACTTGCCACAATTTAGTAGGAATTCAGGGTGAATATTATCAAATCCTGGTGCTTTTGTTGGCTTAACGTCTTTAAGAGCCTCTGATATGTCTTCGTTAGTGAAGAAGAGGGAATGCTCCGTTTCTGTGGCTACATGTTTTAAAGTTTTAAGTTCTCTTTTTACGTAGATGGTGTGTGCTTTATCCTTTGGTGCCCTGGATGTTTTTACTATATGTGATGCTGCGGCATCTGGCTTTACGGCTGCCTCTCGGCGTTTCGTACGGACACCACTCCGTAATTTTCTTAGTAATGACCATGCCTGTCTGCTTGATTTCTGGAAGGTTAGACTTTTTACTGTTTCGGTCCACTTTTGGCTTCTAACGATTGAAATATGAAGAACGATGAATAACAGCATTAATGGCTTTATTTTTGAAGGTAATTACTGCACCAACAGATTCGTAAATCATTACAGAACCATCTATAGTCAAGCGTACCCAATACTTAACATCTAAAATTGCTTTTTTTAACAGGTTGACCGATAGTGTGCAACAATATGGTGTACACAATCATATCCATGATACTATGACTATAAGATAAGATATTGCGCATGTTTTTGTGACGTCATTGGAGAGTTGCACGTTCGAAATGTCAGTTTTTTGTATATATCAATAAATAATCTTTAATAAATAGTTTGGAGATATCCTCATGTGTACGATTATTGTAACTATTAAACCTCTTAACTTATTTTCGTCTAGTACCTTCATCACAGAATGCATACAAATCCCATTTAACTTTAACAAAAATTCAAATTCTACTCTCCAATGACGGCATGCGCGAACTCGACCGATTTTGAGCTACGGGAAGATCCTATCTTGTTATTCATAGTATCATGATCATATCCATAAGCTTGTTTGGAAAAACAATATAACGGCCCTGGTAGTCATACCGTATTGTTAGTTAAATCGGCTTCTTGCTTAAATATTTGATTAAAGACATATTATTTTGAATCTTTTATAGTATTTTTTGCAATATACAACAAATATAGTATGTGCACCAATGTGGTACTCATGGCTTCACAGATCTGACTAATTTAATTTGACCATCCCGATTCGGCACGAAGTTAATGCGGTCGGATCTTGCCAGTGTTAAACTATTTATAGGAATAGCAGCTCTTGTTACTTGATTGACAGTTCAGCAAGATGGATGACAGAAACAGAAGTGTGTTACGATTATACAGAAAGATTCCTAAGCCTTTTATAGGAAGTGAAAGCGAGTTTGATGATAGTGATTTAGACCCCAATTTTACAGCGAATAATGACGAGGTGTTGAGTAATACAGAGTAGCAAATACACTGCTCTTGCCAGGTAATTTTTATGAAATCGTTATAAGTAGAATATTATATTAACTTTTTTTATTTATTTTGTTGGGACTGTATCTGATTGGAGCAGA